TGTTGGAGATTGTCTAAATAAGCAATAAGGAGGTATATTGGATGGGTAGTAAATAGAGTACTCACTAGCGAGTACTTAAGCATTATCTTATTATATATATGGAAGAGGTCCATATAGATCCAATCTAATTAGTAGATTAAAACTAAATTTTCATAAATTTCGGTGGGCATGTGTGCATATTTGTAATTAGAGAAATGCTAAGGAGACTATTTCAAAGTAGGAATTTTCATAGACTCTCTATCATCTCAGAGTTTAACATTAATCCTCATGCCAACATTATAAAATATTGTACTAAAAAAATAAGATGGCAGAGAATCTCCACTTTTAAGAGTCTCCTTAGCATTTCTCTTGTAATTAATTTGCAAGTTAAGTTATGTTTATGGTTGTATATAATATTTCTCTTGATTCTTGATGTGTGAAATTGTTGAATAACTTATTTATTTATGCTGAGACATATAATAATGTAATTTGTAATACACACGTATAATCAAACTCACACGTTTATACTAATTAATTAGAAATATACATATTGGTGTTATAAACATGAAAATGCAGTTGTTCATATCTTCTTCAGTTGGTTTCCGTTTGGTTTTTGACCTAATCATCTATGTGATGCCTAGATAATGAGATGAACTTCATTGCACCGATGGATTTAGAGTGGCACCGCAGTTGTAGATAAGTTCTCACTTGTTTACGAAACACGTTCTAAGATCATCTCCAACCCTTGGGCTAAAAGCTAAATTTTTTAGCCTGAAAAATTTAGCTTTTAGCCCAGAAACAATTTTTCTGTTCCAACCTTTCTGGTCTAAATTATTAAAGAATGAACTTAGGCTAATTTTTCTCTTAAATTAACTTTAAAAAAAATTATGTAGAATATCGCAAATTAATTTTATGAACATTTTAATCTAAAAATATTTAAATTTCGATAAATATTGAAAAATCACTAAATCTTTCCACAAAGTAAGCCTTCAATTTTTTTTTTAATTATTTTAGCTATTGGATTTAAATTTGGGCAGTTAGATCTTTTTTTTTACCGTTAGATTTGATTATATTCGATTTTAGCAGTTGAATTCAATGTATTTTAAAATAGGGTAGATATCAATTTATTACCCTCAAGTTTCGTGGTTTTCAACATTTAGTACATGAAGTTTTTTTCGTCGCCAAGTGTCACATCCAGACCCAGGGCAGGACACTTCCCGGGCCCGCTCCACCACCGTAGCACAATATTGTCCGCTTTGGGCTTACCATTCCCTCACGGTTTTGTTTTTGGGAACTCACGAGCAACTTCCCAGTGGATCACCCATCATGAGATTGCTCTAGCCCCCTTCTCGCTTAACTTTGGAGTTTCTACGGAACCCGAAGCCAGTGAGCTCCCAAAAGGCCTCGTGCTAGGTAGAGATGGAATATACATATAAGGATCAGTCCCCTGGGTGATGTGGGATGTCACAATCCACCCCCCTTAGGGGCCCGACGTCCTCGTCGACACATTTCCGGCCAGGGATAGGCTCTGATACCAATGTCACATCCCGACCCGGGGCGGGACACTTCCCGGGCCTGCTCCACCACCGTAGCACGATATTGTCCGCTTTGGGTTTACCATTCCCTCACGGTTTTGTTTTTGGGAACTCACGAGCAACTTCCCAGTAGGTCACCCATCATGAGATTGCTCTAGCCCCCTTCTCACTTAACTTCGGAGTTCCTACGGAACCCGAAGCCAGTGAGCTCCCAAAAGGCCTCGTGCTAGGTAGAGATGGAATATACATATAAGGATCAGTCCCCTGGGCGATGTGGGATGTCACACAAAGTCATACCTAAAGTGTTAATTTTAGGACAGTTTCATACATTCGTTAGTTTGGCTATTAAGTTTCTAATTAACTGACGATGTGACGTCTATATGGACAATAATTGAGCGCCACGTTTCATTAAGAGTCCACGTAGAAATTAAAATCATTTAATTAAATATTAAAAACTATAAAAAAAAAAAAAAAAAAAATTTTGCATGGGAGACCCACCGTTACATCCCTCACCTTTTTTCTTCCCCGATCCCGTCTTCCCCCAACATAGATTCCACCCTCGGGCCCCTCTCTTTCATCCCCATCTGCACACTGCCCCGCCTCACCTACTCCCTCGCAAAACCTGTTCGAGCGAAACTTCAGTGAACTTGAACCCCGACCTTCTACCAGTACCTCGAGAACCTGCGGGTGTGGATCAAGCGCGCAACCTCCTCGTCTTCCCCGAAATCGGAGTACGACGAGCCGATTCGGACCCAGCTGCTCGCCGCCATGCTCAGGTACATAATTATGCTAGCGATCATGTTTAACAGCGGAGTATTCGTGGCCATCGTTTTGGGGCTGGCGATTGGTTACTTGGCGTTTCGGAGTGGGGACGATGATGTGGCCAGTGTGGTGGTGGAGACTGATAATCCGTGTGCGTGCGCTTAGAAATTTTTTGGGTGGATTTAGATATTTTTTAGATACGATTCGAAAGGGTGCAACTTGCGTTTGTCAATTTGCTGTGTGTCTCTATCGACATGTAATTGTCTGATCTTGTATTATTATGGTTGTTTGTAATTTGGCCTAATCGGATAAATGGTCATCGTAGTAATGAGGCAATCAGAAGATAACCCTTGTGGTAAGAAAAATTAAGATTTAAAACCTCGTGGTATAATCCGTTAGCAAATTTAGTCCAAAACCAATTTTTCTGTTAATTGTCTATTAAATGCAGGGATATATATGCAGGGATCACTATCCTCAGGATCCAAGTACTGGGTCCAGTCGTTTCATCTTCTCTTTTCGGTCTTGTACGAGCAATCGGAAGAAATAAGAGTATCTTGTTCTTGTCGCTGTTGCTATTAATCATGGGTTTGCTGGGCGAACTGGCGAGACATGTTGGAGGATTGGACGAAGAAGCAGAGGTCTCTGGCCATGGGACATTGAGCAAACACTTGGCGGACGGACTTCTTCTGATTGCAGATGACGCATGTCCACTTGTTGCTTTTGTTCCTCTGCTTCACCTGCAAATTTAATCGGAATTCATCGCCAAACAAAATCATCAAGTTTCAGATTCAAGTGTTCATACACACATACATATATACATGCACACGCATGTACATACCTGCATGGTGGAGCATTGGGAGCGATGAACTGCGACGAACACGATCGGCATTTTCTTCTTTGCTTTCGGATTTCACAAGTCGATGTGCGATTTTGGTATTACTTAAAATTTTGGCGGCGATTTGATTTGGGGTTTGGGGGCCAAATTTTGGGGATTCAAAATTTTGTGATTAAAAATCCTAAAAAGCCCAAATTCGCAATGATCCACTGGCAAAGTGGCCATTGCAAAAAAGCACAGCTGGATGTTCCTCCTTTACCATCGCTTACTCCCCCAACAAAATCAAAACCCAGCTCGACGAGGAAACGCAGGGAGACAAGGAAGAAGAACATGTCAAAAGTACATTTTTACCCCGCATTTACCGAACAACTAACAGAAAAATCACTAGTGGACTAAATTTGCTAACGGACTACACCAACGTTTAAATCCTAATTTTTTTACCACGAGGGTTATGTTCCGATAACCTTATCACCACGAGGACCATCTATCCGACCTTGTAATTTATGCGTTGCTTTGTAATTAATGGTAAGTCTACAGATCTACTTTCATTTTGTTCATCTTTTTCTTTTCAAATTTGAATTTTCCGATCTGCTGTGCTGATGATGATGGTGGCGACGCCGTCATTCGGCGGGGTTGTGGTTTTGGCGCTGGCGGGTTTTGGCTAGTTTTTCCAGGTTTTGCGAGGGAGCAGATGAGGCGGGGGAGTGTGCGGATGGGGGTGAAAGAGAGGACCGGAGGGTGGAATCTGGGTTGGGGGAAGACGGGATCAAGGAAGAAAAAAGGCGAGGGATACAAGGGTGGGTCCTCCATGCAAAAAAAAAATTTAATTAAATGATTTTATGTTTTTAGTTTTAAATATTTAATTAAATGATTTTAATTTCCACGTGGACCCTTAATGACACGTGGTGCCCAGTCATTGTCCACATAGTCATCACATCATCAGTTAGCTGGAGACTTAACAGCCAAACTAATGAATATATAAGACTGTCTCAAAATTAACACTTTAAGTATGACTCTGGGACAAAAAAAACTTCATGTACTAAATGTTGAAAACCACGAAACTTGAGACTAGTAAACTAATATTAACCCTTTAAAATAACATTTTAAAAGAAAAAAAAAATTTGAATCTGGACCATTGAATCAACCAACGGTCCAATAATGCCAACTGTCCGATGAACAAAAGAGCCATTGGGCTCATAATTGCTTCCAACAGCGGCCCTAACAGTGGATCCCACCTTGTCGAGCGCTGAAGGCTAACGCCCACGTGGGGCAAGTGGCACAAGTGACCAGGCCGAGAATGGGCTGGGTAAGGAAAAGTCCACACGTTTCTGGGCTATTTCTTGGCGGGAATTTGGCCCTCATTTGGCATTTGGCTTTTAATCCAAAAATTTGGGTTGGGTTGGGTTGGGTTGGGTTTGGTGGGGGAGAGGGGAAGGGGGGGGGGGGGGGGGGTGGGAATAGTGGGGAAATTTGGCATTTAGCCCAAGGTTGAAAGAGAGTCTAACCGGCTGTTTGCAATATAGATTCCTAATTTTGAATGTTTATTGATGGGTTTGCTTGATTAGCAAAAGTTGATTAAACTTCCAAGCCCGCTTAGGATTCATAAAGGCTCACTTAACTGATGAAGCAAAGCCGGTGGGAAGCTTCAACTTGCAAGAATTGACAAGCATTTCAAGAAAAAGAAGTGATTTTCACACAGTATTTACTCGACGTACAGGAAAAAACTAAACTGAACTAATATCCCACTCATAGCACAATCATTTCATTTACGAGTTAAAAAATGCGCAACCTACATACACACAAACGCACACTTTGTTGGCACCATTCAGTAATGTTACGACCACAACCATCTCTCTCTGGAGCCTCGTCTTGGTACCGAAAACCAAAGAAAATCCGAAGTAAAATAGTTTATTGAGGCGGTTTAACCAAATCTAGTAACAATTACAGTCCAATTCCAAAAGTCCGGTAATAGTACGGTCGGGCTCAGGAACTAAACATTGAAACATGTCATGACTTTGTTTCAACTGGTGAATGCTTCCTCTCTTAAAATTTTGAAACATGCTGAGCTGTGTTGTTTATTAAGAACAACATAGTTTAACATTTTGTAATTAATCTAAAATTTAGAATTATTTCTATTCGCTTTCATAAGATACAAAATGCATAAAGGATATATTCCTGCTAACCAGAGACGCAGACGAAGGGGGAGAAATTCACACATGAACCAAAACGAAGTTGAAGTCTCACTTTTCCTCTTTATATACACATTCCAGACTCGGGAGGTTTCATGCCTTATCACCAACTGCGTAACGTTTCCTCGTAGGACTTAAACCTGATGAATGGAGCTGTTTTCGCTTTTTCACCAGTTGCATTGCAGTATGTCTGTCATCTCGAGCCTCCTCAGAATCAGGCTGTACATACAGTTCAAATTGAACTTATATTCCTAACACAAACTATATAGAGATTTATACCAAAAAATTATAGTTCTGTGTGTTAGCACCCTATTGATTCATTGAATTTGATATAATGACCTCCATGGAAGATTTTTAAATTCAATCAAACAATCAAATATGCGTGAAAGACGAAATACTTATAAGTAATGAAAAAGTAAGATGACAGTGGCACATCCTTTACGCGCTTTGAAATGTAAGCTTTTTAGTTTGGGAAAAGATTCTTGCTTGAACAGGTATTATAGATCGTGCAGACAGTGTTTCATCCTTAGGGTATTGTGATTCGCAGACATAGAATTGGCACCCGATACTCAACTCATTTTAACTAATATGCATTAAAAACAATCATCCACTAAATCCCTATTTCAATGAAAAAACCAAAAATTACTCATGACGAAGACGAATAAGTTGCAGGGTTTATTAGATTAGCACATAATATTGCAGTATCAGACTCCACCTAAGGTCAGTGGCTCAACGATGCATCAGAAAACAGCGTAAGAAGCTTTGAGAACTACAGATTATAATTTCTTGAAAGGTGAAACAATACCTTGATGGCTAATGCTCTGTCGAAGCTTTGAATGGCATTATCAGGCTCCCCAAAGTTTAACTGTGCTCTACCAAGGGTAACCCAAGCCTGAACATATGATGTCAAGTGAAGTTAGGACAAAAGAAAATCATTACACAACCAAAGGAAATATGAGAGGAAATTGCCTAGTTATGAATCATAAAAGCATCAGCCACAATTATCACTGTATGCATAGCAAGTGAAAGTACCCATTAACACGGATCTAAGTTTCAGGGACCATGAAGGATGATGGCTAAACCTTTATCTTCTTCCATCAGCAACACACATAGATAACAACAGAATTTATCAGAAAGAAAAAGAATTTATGGGAGGAGTCAAATTTAAAATGCTAATTGCATCAAAGATTCTACAAAGCATATGAATGAAAATTTCCCCTCCCAATTTTCCTAGAGCAATGAGCACCATCATAACTTGGCACAGGCACATGAACAAATAATAAGGTGACAACCATTTCAGAAGTATAAAATTTTGACATACCTCAGCCCATGAAGGCTCCAACTCAGTAGCTCCTGCAAATTTTAATCAAAAGATAAGTACAATAAAGCACTTGCAATTGAACCAGAGAAATTGCAATACGCATAAAATTAAGCTTGAAAAAAGTATATTGTGTGTGCAGCTTCTGGAAAGTGTGAACATAATTTAGCGAATAAGGACCCAAAAGTGCAGAAAGAAAAAGAGTGTAACACATTTTGGAACCAAATAATGCACGTGGAAACAAAATACATGTTTGATGGCAACCTGATAACAAAATGGTCATATCACATATATGTACCTATTAAGAACTAGACATACTTGTGCAAATATGGAAAATAATATACCCCGAAGGGAGATAGAAGGGAAACCTACGAGTCGCTGTCTTCACCGCATTCCATGCATCTCCAACTTCAAGTAATACTTGTGCCTTCTGTTCATGTAAAACTGCATTTTCAGGCCTCAACATAAGAGCAGCCTCCCATTTTCCCAATGCTTCACGGTACTTCCCATCCTTCAAACATCAGTTTAATGTGAGAAAATGCCATTAAATCATCCAGATCAGGAATCAGCAGAAATTAGTTCACACCACGATCTTAGTCATACATGTAATAGCTTGTACATAATGAGAAGATTTCTCTTTTGGTTTTCCTGCATTCTTCCTCTAGCAAGAAATTAGTCATTAAAATATTATATGCCACTCGGCCAGTAACTGAAAAGGGCCAGGAGTGAGTACCTATCGCTTACAATAATCAAACTACTGTATTCAACGTGAAAAGATGATGTCCTCACCTACAGACAAAAGGGACCAAAAAACCATTCTTCATATATCTCAACTATGAGCATATAAGTGCCTCGTTTTCTTTTGTTTCTGTATGCAATTCAACATTTTGTTTGTGTTGATATTGTCAATTTCTGATGTAAGTAGTGTCAAATCCTTCCCATAACAATATGCAATAGCAAGCACTAACTAAGAATTCTGTCGAGCTTATTTACTTGCTTAGTGCTTGCCACTCCACTTCGACAAGATTATATCTACTACTAAGAATCACTAGCTGAAAATTTTCATGTTTTATGAATCCGGCAGCTAGTTTTTCCCACTTTTACACTTTTCCTTTCATCAAATTTCGATTTCAACAATTTGGGCAGCTAAAAAAATCTAGCATAATTCTAACAATCTTGAGCAGGCAGACTAAATTGGTTATCTGGGCTCCATCAATTATCACATCAAAACGAAATTACATATCAAAGAACATAACTTGGCAATTACATTTTCCTTCTGCAATGCATAATACCAAAAAAAAATACATAAATAAATAACTGGGGTTTTTTAATATTTATTACCTCGGCGAGCTTAGTTCCCTGAGCTTGAAAGGAGTGGAAAAGTTCGGCAGCGTCGGAAGGCTCGCTCTCATCGGCTAGCTTGCCGAGCTCAGTGTTGTTTTGAATATTATTGCTGGGTTTTTCTGCTGGGTGCGATTGATTGCTGGGTTCGTCGTTTTGCCGCTCGAAAGGGAGATTTGGGTAAGTTGATACGATCCCCAGAGGCCGCTTCTTGTTGCTCTTCCACGCTATCTTCATCTCTCTCTCTCTCCTCACTCAGGCAGACCCGCAACTCCTCCGTTCTGTTTCGGGTTCGCCCGAATGCAATAAATACCCGCACGGTTAAACCCGAACACGTAATTGGGCCCAATGTGGCATGTAGGCTTCTGTTCTTTAATCTGCTATTTTAATACAGCCCAACCAAAAAAAAATAAATAATGAAAAAAGCTTGAAACTAACGATAAAGACAAAATAAATGGTAAAGTGAATAGTATCATGATTGACTTTTTAGTGTAAAAATGTGGTTTTCCGTTAAAGTAAACAGTACCGAGATTTTTTCTATAAAGTTCCAAAAAAAAAAAAAAAAAAAACCCCAACAAAGAAGGGATCGTAGGCAGTGAGTAGGTTTTGTGCAAAGGTAAGACGTGGTGCACTCTCCTCCGGCATCCAATTCCAAAAGAGGTTTTTGGGAGAACGAAAGGTACAATCATACAAGGCCCCAAATTTGAAGGGTTACTAAAAAAATTTGCCATCTAAAATTTACATGTGATAGTCACTTAGTATTACGATCTAATAGTATTATTCTTCACTTGTAAGTGAGAGATCTTAAGTTAAATCTTGCCAAAGGCAATTTGAAACATATTATTGCTAGCTCATTGTGAGGCGTAGCCTCCCCTCCACCTTAGTTTAGATACTATCATTTGCTCAAAAAAATATATATGTAAAAGTGGTATTAAAAAAAAAATTTGATTTTATTAGTACTTCAAAATTTCATTGTTCACTCCTTATAAGTGTAAATTTTTTCTCTCTAAATATAAAAACTTGCAGTGCACAATGAGATATTTGAAGTGTCAATAACAATACCATAAAAAAAAAAATTTCTTTCAATTTTATTATATAATAATGCTACATGTTCAAGTGAAACTTTAAAGGTAGAGTTTTTGAAGCTTTTTTCTTGTTTGGTTGTTTAAAATTGAGTTGCTTTTGATTATTTAGTGAAGGTTATGCTTGAATCTGTTTTGACTTATTATTTAGGGAATTATTATTAGCACTCCAAAAATCTCATTAGGCACTCCAAAAATTTCATTAGGCACTCCAAACTTTCTATAATTAGAAAGAAAAATACACTTGTGAGGAGTGTAGAATGAGTTTTTTTTAGTGCTAATAACAGCTCCCATTATTTAATTACATTTGTAAACTTACAATCAACGAGTTAAATTATTACTTTTTAGAATCAATACATTGTCTTTTTTTTTCTTTTTTTTTTTTTTGAAAATCTATCTTAAGAATGATAGATTTTTCAATATGCACAAAACAAGGGAACATCAACATATGCCATAAGTCAGTATATAAGTAGAGGGACACCTAGAAAAAATAAATAAATAAATAAATCCTTCCACTTGCATAAGGACATATAGCGTACCACCTCGTCTTTGGACAACTTGAAAAATATCTCCCTTAGAAAGGGCCTTTTTATAAATTTCATGCAAGATCCTTGAAATCTCATAAACAGTCCTGACCAATTTATTGTTCTGAAAATAATTCTCATAAATATGCATAAACCGTAATTCTTTAAGTTGCTAACACAAGCATACGCTAGCAGCACAAACACCACTAACATAGAATTGCCACAAAAATGGCAAACGAATTTGTCTCGTGAACAAATTAAATAAAGGGATACTTTAGATGCGGTCCCTAAACCTTAACATTCTTTAAATTAAACCTTAATAGTATTCAAAGTTTGATCAACGTCCCTTGATTTTGTACACCTCATTATATTACTATTAATATTTATATTTTTATAGTTTTGACATTAATTGTTTGATATTTTATGAGATTTATAATCCTATAAATTTAAAATCCCTCAGTATAATACTATTAGAAACGGTTACAATAAAAAAATGGGAGACTTTGGATGCGGTCCTTAACTATAAATATTTTTTGATTGAAACCTTATTGGTTTTTAATTTTTGATCGAGGTCCCTGAAATCAATGTGATAATTTATTTCTATGTACGTTACTATATTTTTTAAATTAAAAATTAGAAATTTTAATTGTTTATATAAATGAGATTTTAAATGAAAAACCATAATTTGTGGGATTAAAAATATAAAAATACTATTGTGTGTGTTTATATATATATATATAAACATGGGTACATTCATCAAAATTAACCAAAAAAATTATTGTATCCAAACATGGGTACATTCTTCAAAATCACAAAAAAAAAATGATATTAGGCTTAATAACATTAGTAAATTTTTTTGATTAAAGTTGACATGGATACATTTTAAAATCAAAGAAAACAGAATGTACCCATGAAGTTTAAAAATGGATTAAAAAAATTGAATAGATTTTATATAAAAAAAAAAATGGTACATTTTACATATAACAAAATAAAAAGTTTTACATGAAGAGGTACATATTATTAGCATGGGAGCATGGGTACATTTAGCAAAAATAAAAAGTACAAATAAAAAAATATATATTCGTACAAATACAAATAAACTTTAAAAAATATGGGCACAAAAAGAAATTAATATATGGGTACAAATTAAAACTAAAAAGAAAATTGGTACAATTAAAAAGGAATTACAAATTAAAAATGGGTACAAACTAAAACTAAAAATATATGATAAAAAATTTAGTCATAAATATACTAATTGTAACATTTTTAACATTAAATGAATATATTTAGAAATAAAAAAATATTTTATTATTGAAATAATTAATGATGTTATTAATAACCAAGGACATTGATCAAAAATTGAAAAAGAATAGGATTTTAATCAATGGAATAGCAAAAGGAAGGACAAGAACCTAATTTCTCCTAAAAAAATTCAAACATTTTGATTGAATAAATGGATAAAAACTATGTAAAAATAAGAAATAATAAAGGGCAAAAGAATGTATCCATAGTGTTAAAAAAATTGGTACATTTTACAAAAAAGTTGGTACATTTCACATATAACAAAGTGGTACACTAATAAAGAAGAATGGGTACATTATAAATAAATTAGGGTACAGATAAAAGATTAAAAATTATGAGTACAAATGAATTTTTAAAAATATAGGCGCTAAAAGAAATTAATACATGGGTACAAAATAAAAATAAAAAGAAAATACTACAAATTAAAAAAAGAAAAAAATGTTGCAAATTAAAAGTGGGTACAAACTAAAAATATAAATATATGATACAAAGTTTAGGCATAAAACATAAATATACCATATGTAATTTTTCTATCATTGATTAAATATACAATGTCACATGATGGTATATACATGGGTACACACACAAATAAAACTTTAAAAAAATATGGGCACAAAAAAGACTAATATACGGGTACAAATTAAAAATGAAAGAAAATTGGTACGAATTAAAAATAGATACAAACTAAAAATAAAAATATATGACAAAAAATTTAGCCATGGATAAAAATATACTAATTGTAACATTTTTGACACAAAAGGAATATATTTAAAAATAAAAATATTTTATTATTCAAATAATAAATGATGTTATTAATGTCCAAGGACCTTAATCAAAAGTTCAAAATAAATAGGATTTTAATCAATGAAGTAACAAAAGAAAAAAGATGTGAACCTAATTTTTTCTTAAATAAAAGTAGGGGTTTATCCTTTTTTCACCTTTTCTTTGGACCATGCCACCACGAGCATGTCACCATGCATGCACAGTGAATGTAAGCTATGGTGACAGAATACATAGACAGTGAAGTGATAGTGAGTCCCACATAGAGAAGAAAATTTTCAAGATGTTCGAAATACGGATTGGTATAACATATACTATACATAAGCGAAAAAAAGTTTTAACTTTTAAATGTTACTACACTTATATATTCACATGTGATATGCTACCTTATATTCCGTGCATTTGAAAAATCTCTCCCCAGGGAGCTGGTATTAGTTCGGCAATCACCATACTTACCCGCGTAGACGAGTATAATTTTGACACGTCTCACGTATGAAAATGCCGCAAATGCATGTAGGAAAGTCATTTTTCTGTAATCAGCAACTAATACTTGAACTCCACGTGTCTCTCGGCTGCTGTTGAGTTTGGGTGCTTGTAAGGGAAGTTCACGTTGACTGAACTTATTACCTTTAATAAGGTGTAGTGGCCAGTGGGGCTTTAAAATCCCAGCCCGCAACCCTCGCACTCCCCATACCAAAAACTATTGAAACAGAAAAATAAAGGCTGTGAGAATTTGAGAAGAGAAAGCAGCAGCAGAAGAAGAAGATTAATGGAGAAGAAAGACAAGACAGAGGTTAATGGGTTCAAACCTAAGAAGGGTAGTGTGTTCCCAGGAAAGAGAAAGCTGGTGAAGAAAATGGTTTTGGATTCCATGGCGGAATGGGTTTCTTCTGTTTCCTTCCCCGCTGATTGCCTTCCTCCTCCATCCTCTGCAGCCAACATCACCAAACAATCAAATTCCAAGGGAAGCAAACAGGCAGTCCCACACCAGTGCAATTGCAAATACTCTGGCAAATAATGCATCATCATCATTTGGTGACAAAGTCTTTGATCTTCAAAGTTTGGTAGTCCTTTCTTCTCTTATAAATAAAATAGAAGATTGTACGATTTAGCTCTCATATTAGAATAACACGTGCACGTTGTTTTTTTTTTCCTCCTTCTTTGAGAATTGGAAATGTATCTTCATGAGGATGTGAACAATTTTGTGTGCGAATGCTTTTAGTTGTAATGAAATACTATATATCAAGAACTAGGTTTAGTTCTTGCAATAGTGGGTGGTAATTTACAAGTTTGGAAGTTTTTACTTTTTGAGGTTTATTGGACTAAACTAAGCTTGCTCCGAGGCCACTTAATTGGATTTTACACTTTCTAATCCCTTTTTGTTTTTTTATGTGTCCGTAAGAATTTGGAAAATTGTTAAAAAAAAACGACTTTTATGTAATGAGAATATTATTATAACAATATCTCATATAGCATGCAGTAAAAAAAATAAAAAACTGAACTGCATCTCCATTTTAGATAAGTACTGCAGGAGAAATTTTTCATTATGACGAGAACACGATGGTACATCACGTGTTTTTATATAAATGGTGAGAAATTTTATT